CAGTGTACTCATGGGGGGGGGAATGTACATGTACCACTACAGTATACTCATGGGGGGATGTACATGTACCAGTACAGTGTACTCATGGGAGGGGGGGGAATGTACATGTACATGTACCACTACAGTGTACTCATGGGGGGATGTACATGTACAGTGTACTCATAGGGGGAATGTACATGTACATTTAAAAACACTATCTGGTACAAGCAAAAATACAATGTACCGTAATACATAAGTCATTTCAATACATCAATCAAACCTGGCAAGATGACCTTTGATTCAAAGGGTTCAATGACTTACGGAAACCAACAACTGTCAGCACTCAGCGTATGAGATTCAGAGGACAAGCTCAGATGGTAAGAGCCATTACTATGGCAACCACTGTCCAAACTGATGTCTCTGTGAATCATCCTGTCTTGATGGCTATCGTTCCGAGCATTTATCATATACCGGTACATACGGTAACTGCATCAGGTTTTACATGTATCTTAGTATATTTTAACAATCACTGTTCACTACAGAACACTTTCAAATGTACCTTAGCATAAAACAACTTGCGAGTCAGGTCAAAGCCTTCATGTACCGGTACCTGTACCATGCATATATTCTGATATTCAGATTTCAGTAAAAATCAGACGAGAAAATCTTCATTTAAAGCTACACAACGTACATGTGTCCAACTATTCGTACCGGGAGGTGTGGCATGAAGTTTTCTAGAAGTTGGACTTCAGTCACTTTACACCTCTTCCCAAATTCTAGGAAGCTGGTGCAAACGTAGTGTTACATGTACACGTATACTATTTCATTCAATTTGAAGAACATCAAAGTTACACTGATTCAAATTACACAAAGAAACACTTCTCCTAAAGCGAACAAAGTTCAAATGCTCAATCAGCTCCAGTTATTTTGGCATAATTAATGCAACATGATGAGTTTTGACAGCAGGGATGGTACACTGTACACGTACAGAGAGGCAGAACTGTTTGCGCTAGAGAGAAAACGAGAAAACCAGCAAACATTTGAAAGCAATCCTCTGTCATAAGTTTTCAT